AGTACCAGTGAAATGAACACCAATATTTGAATGAAAAATAAATTAAGTGATTTTTCCTTACTTTTTCAGATGCGTGAAAACCACAGACAGAAGGAAAAGTCCATCAGAGATTGGCATGACTATGTTGCTAGAGTGTCTAACTATGAAGTTTTAAAGGTAACCTTACACAACTTTAAGTGCATGTCACAAAGTCTGCATGATTGCTGCTGGTCCGTTCTTGACAAAGACCAGAAGAACTTGTATATTAGTTTATCTAATCATCAAAAGACATTATGCTCAGTGATTTATTGTAGGATGAATTTCTTGGAAGTCATGCTGAGATAATATGTAATGTAAAGTGTTTTCTTGGTGGTCGATGTCATACAAAATATTGTATTACCTTGGTATGTGTGATGATTTGCATGTACCCTTGAAATTCTTAATAATCACAAATTGAATGAAATGATCACAATCAACTATTTATTTTTGTTATTTATTCAGGATTCAAAGCGAAGAATGGACAGTTCCATTGAAGCTTCTAGAAATCAGACCAGATACAGAGAATTGTAAGTAAATCATTCCATTTGTGAATTGGTACTAAACACTATGTAATCATAAACTTAAACCGAAATCAATTCTGTGTTATGACTAATTGTTATAATTTTTGATGCATTATTTAGAGTGTTCAATATTGTTCAGAAAGCATTATTGTAAGGTCTTTGTTCAAGATTATAGAGTGGTTATCCTTTCTAGTAATCATGTTAGATAGACTGTGTGTTATGACATAGCTGTTTTAACAATTCTTGAAAATAAAGTTATGTGTATGTAAATTCATACATTTTTTTTTTCTCTTTTCCGTGCCGCAGAGAGCTTTTTCATAGCACAGATCAACCAAATCTTCAAACAACAGTAAGTACTCTTTAAAAACATCTACTGGTTTGTTTATATGCCACAACCATCAAGTGACCATGATTCATCTAATTCGTATCATGGCTGTCACAAATGTGGGTTAAAATAAGTAATTTTGGGTCAAAGAATAGGGTGAAATACATTGGTAATACATTGACCAATTTTATTCCAACTTCACATATAGGTAATGCACAATACATCACATATATTGATAGATACAATTTTACAATCAGAATGTATCAGGAATGCACTGATCATTTTCATTCAGATTCACTTATAGGTACATAGGTACATATATTGATAGACATAATGATTTAAGTCAGGCATGGTACAACAATTACTGGTCATGACACTGGATCACATTGTATTTCTAGCCCTTCTGTTGACTTCGTTGTTGAGAGCTGAGCTGTTCATATTTCCATTTGTCCATCAGCATCAATTTTAAATTTTTGTCTTCTTGAAAACACCAAGTCTCCCTGCTTTGATACTTAGTATATATGTACTTTGGGTGGAGCTCTCTCAGATTTATTTATTTCTTAAAGATATCCCTATTGCTATTTTTACTTCTTCTTGAAAACGGTTAGCCCAGTTGCATTTATATTTTCTATGTAGGCACCTGGGATGAATCTCTGACAGGTCTTCATTTTGTGACAATAAATTTAATTTTCTAATTTTAATGAATATTTTTGTCATTTTTGGGGGAAAAAATGCTATTTTCAAGAGTCTAACTATACAGCAGAGCTGTATATCTGCTGACATACTGCTTGTTTTGATCATTCCAATAAAGTACTACATTTTTACATTTATATTCTGCTACTAATTTTCTCATTTCTTTCTTTCAGACATTCCAAGGTCGCCATGTCACTGTTAATAGCACCCCTCTAGAACTTACCGGGGCTCCAGTTGTAATGCCAGTTGTGGAAAAGGATAAAGGGGTTACAATGAAGGAAAAAACCACCATTATAGTTTGAAACCTTTATTGAAACCAACAGAATTACTTGAATTGTGTAGTTAGAATTACACAATGTGTATATATAGTACTCTAGATAAACCGTCCAAATAATTTTTGTACAAACCTTTCTACTTTTGAATCTTCGTAATTTTGATCATATTACATATTGACACATTATGCATGTCTGCAGATTGTATTATACAGTTATATCGATGACAAAATGTGAAGTCATCTGAATTATATATGTGAGAGATTTCAGTTATCTAAGTTCATAAAATGCTAAACAAAAACTTGAATAGAACATCAAATATTGGTTTTCTTTTTCTTAGTTTGGATCAACAGAAGTGTTGATCATAAAATTACAAAACTTTCTCAGATTACCATATTTACAACTCTGCATCTTATTATATACATGTACATGAATCATCTGTAGAAATGTTGACTGCTTGCCATGAGATAAACTAATCATTCCACTACCACCTAGCATTGTGCTGTGAGTCATAGACTGTCTCTCAACATGTGTACTTAATATAATCCCACCATATTTACTTTTAGGTTAGCATGAGCAATCACTAAGTGTTCATTGCCAGTTTTGTATCAATCAGAGCTTGCACATAAAACCAAATTGGAAGGATTTGCTCAAACCTGTATGCTATTTTAAAATACCGAATATTACAAAGGGTGTGACAACATTCCTATTGTGATCAACCCAAATATTGTGTGGCATCATGATATACTAGCAAACCATGGTTGATTAAACATAAAAAATAATGGAGTGCACTAAAACCATCAAGTACCTTTAATACTGTATGAATATATATTCCGCCCTGTTGTCGTACATATTATTCCATGATTGACATCCAGATATTCCTCCCAGAATGGATGAGAGTTTTTTAAGGAAAATGATATGCCAACTTAAAGGGTATGCTGGTCCCTGTGCAACTCTTGCTACTTCCCCCAAGGGTACATTGGAGGATCCAGGGGGGCATGCCCCCCCCAAACGCATGATGATTCATATCATCTGGATTACGCATAGCTTCTCTGCAATTTTCGCTCCGTAATATTAAGCAAAGCTTGCCCCCCAATACATTTTGCTGGATCCGCCACTGCAAGGGTATTAGCAATTATAAAGTATGTAGTTAATAAGACATGTTTTACATGCACAAGCCAGCTATTATTTAATGACATACAACTTAATCTTAATCAGCTTAATCTATTGATGTATTCGACACACAGACAAAACAATCTTTATGCATATTCAATGATTTATTGTATTCAAATCTGTTTGTTTTTTTCCATACAAATAAAAATTTTTATAATATTTACAAGATTGTATTCTGTAGTTTATAATCAATTACAAGTTGAAAATATAACCTGTCTATGTTACTTTGTAAACTGCTCTTCTCTTTTACTATGTTTGTTCAGAGAACAGTAAAAAATTGTCATCCTTATTGAACTCGCCCTAGATTTGTTTATAAATGCAAAAATACTGTTAGTGGTTGAAACACAAGAACATGTGTTTACTCGACCATTTTATTAGTAGATAAGGTACTGTTGCCATGGATACTTCTGGTGCTTCTGCAATCATTATAGTACAATGTATTTGATATATATTTTGAAAAAGTATTTGGTGACCCTCATTTTTCACATATTTATATAATTATCTGTAATTGGTAAAATACTTTCCTATGTTAAAAGAGTTAGAATGATAGGATTAGACAGATAAAGAGATTGTATGCATTAGTTACAATACTCATTGACATTGATTTTTTATCATTTGCAATGTTCATAAAGACTGCAGCCTCATTTCATGATTATATCTACTGGTAGTAAAATGTTGAATTCTAACATTGCAATATAATGTTTGGTTTAGATGAGTAAAGATGAATGGTTATACATGTATGGTATTTTTAAATTCACTGTGAGAATTTGCGTTTAGGAACTAAAACTATTAAATATAAATTTTCGACAAAGTGAAACCTTTTTTTTTTTTAAATGTCAGTTAAATTAATCTGCTGCTACCCAACATTGCATAACTATCCCTACATGCAGTAATCTGATGTTACCCATTGTTATGTGCAGGCACATGCAACATGAGAAATTGCTAACCATATATGGTCATGTAACCTCATTAATATGCATAACTGTAATATATGAAGCATTGTTGTGAGAATAGGGGCTTGCATCCAGTGCTGTAGTGAAGGTATTGGAAC